TGCATTCCAAGCCCATTCTTGACAGATTACTCGCCACATCCACAGTCATCCAGGTATCCACTATTAAAGTTACAACTATGTAACAAATCGTCAAACTATTAAAAAAAGGTATGTAAATTTAAAACACTTCTAAGTATTACTATCATATGTCGGTATATTCTTTATATCTTACATCACATTTAGTTATGTAATCACCTGTATATAATTTGTACCACTTTTGTTATTCATTGAGTGAAGATGGTGTATATTAGACAGAAACGCGTCTGACGAAATAAACTCCTATTGTGGAAAAGACAATTTATTTCTTACAAAACAACTTATTATGGATGGACATTATCAAAAAATTATAATACAATCGCACAAATAAATACATTCACACCTGCGAACTGCATTATTCTAAATAGTCGGTGGAATATTTCATATTCCTCCATTTATGTACACACAATATTGATAATCTAATCTAAATGAGGGTCGATAGAGAGCTTTCACATAAACTGCTCAAAAATGAATAGGGATATTGCCAATTTTGTAGTATTTATTTTCCCTAGCATTGTTATTTTATTTTTATTATAAATTGCATTAAAATTTATTAGAAATTATTATGTCTTTTATTGAAGCCAAATTTAATTAAGGGATTTTGAAAACTAACAAAACAAAAGGTTTTAATTCCATAATTTTATTTATTGTACACGACAATTTTTTTAAACAATTAACACCGCGTACAATGTCCTCTATTAGCTAAAACCTCTGTGCATCTGTTAGACATACTGTTCATAAGGTTGTCACTATTATCATAAGAAATTCACTCCATAGATGTTGCAACGCTGCACTTAGTTTTGGCAGGTCAACTGGCTGCGGATGGAGATCGAAAGGTCTTCTCGACGCAACGCATCCCACATATCCAATAGGATTGAGGTTTGAAGACAGTGGGGGGAAGGGGCAGATTGCCCATGTTTGCATTGTCATCCAGAAACCGAAAATCCCTGCCAATGAGATCCCCGGTTTGAGGGATGTATTCTTCGATAATTTTTTTCGATAAAACGGTTGCCGTCAACAATACGGAGTCCAGTTCGTCTTCCAATATAAATCCCAGCCCAGACCGTTTCACCGCCTCCTCCAAACTGCACTGAAGGGAGCAAGACCTGGGGCATTGCACGCATCCTCTGTTCTCGGTAGACTCTTCGGCGCCTGCCATCACTACACAGACAGGAACGCGACAGTGAACATAACAGCATTTCAATTGATGTTCTCTTCTAATTTTGAGTACACCTTTTGTATAGGCTATTTTTATACTTAAAAACTATAGTTATGCCTAATTTTTGTATTCTTCTTCTAAATAACACAGCTAATTTGTTTAATTATCAACGTGTATAACTCTTTTAAATAATTTATTACAGCTATGATGTTGGATACATTCTTATCAGGTTCTGTAGATATATAATTATTGACTTTATATGCTATCAACCTTTCTAAAACTCTAGGATTCCGATCTTTAACAATATTTCTTTGGCTTTGAGTTACAAGTTGTTTAAAATATTCATTAAAGTTAATTGTAAGTTAGAATGTATGTTTTAATAAATTTTGTGCTACATTAATTACGGTTCTAATTGAATGCTGAGATTAAAACTTAAAATTCCGTCTCAGGAAGACGGTTTGTTTACAACAACGAATTAATAATACATCCAGATATGCTAACATACCATTTATCTCCTCTTAACATGTAAAATGGACCTTAAGGCCATAGGAATTGAAATGGAAATGAGATATATCAAAAGTTATATTGAAAAACCAAAGTTAATCATAATTACATAAGCTAACTTATGATTAACAATAGCTAGCATTGATATGCACAATTTGTGAAAGCGTTGGGTCGGGGAGAGTTAGGTTCAAGGTTATTTTTTTTAAAGAGAAACTAAGTTGATATTTGTTTTTCACCCGCCTCAAAAAAAAGCCTGAATAGAAAATTTAAGGGAAGAAATTGGACATTTTCTGTCCTACAAATAACTGCGGGACCTTTACAAGGAGTTAGATGCCTATAAACAGTAATGGTCGACACGTCGCATCCGCAAATAATATAAAACGTTTAGAGTGTTTTTGTTGATTTCATCCGAATTTTTTTCTCTCATAATAACAGAAAATAAAAACAATGTTACAATAAGCTTAAGGGAGAATAAGCTAGCTTTCAAGCATTTGCCATAAAATTAAATTTAAAAAAATCCAGAGGAGTTATGGATTTTTAACTGAACACCGGAGAAAAAAAATATACCCGGGATCCAGCCTAAAAATTTATATTTCTTGTTTACCATAAAAATTCGAATTAAAAGGTTTAAAACGGTGCTTAATACGAATCTGAATTGACTTTTTCTATAAAAAAAAGTTTTGCCAAATTTACTTCAAGCAAGAACACGAAGAAACGAAAAGTAATTTCCATATTTTTTAAAAACATGATTTTCTGCCATTGTAAAGCAGCAATAAATATCTATATCTATTGATTTTTATTTTTTAACTAGGATAAGAAAATAATATGCAAGATTGAATAAAACGAAATCGTAAATATGTTTATACAAAGTTACAAATAGCTACGCTTTCAGTAAAGTGGGCCAAAAAAATTATTTTAAAAAAGCAATACGGAATCATATTATGCACTGTATGAAGCTCTTAATACGATTTTTGATTCCAGACAAAAAAATCGGCAGATCAGTCAGGGGTAATTTTTTGTTTGTACGAATTTCAAATTTCATACAATCTGATGTTAAGGTTTTTAGTGGGTGCCAAAACAAAAAATTAACTTTGTTTTATGATAAAAAAAAATATTTTTACCTATTTGCTAAATTGCACTCTCACAGTTTTTTTTCTCGATAGCTGGTATAAGGTAGCTTTTGTAGTTATGATCCTAGGTAAGATTGGCAAAAAAGCCTTGTTGTCTGACCAAGGAAAAGTTAGAAATGCCACACCCATTCACTATATATCACACACCTTTCTTCGACAGTATATTACTTGTTTCAAATAATAAATGTTGTTAATTATTTCACTACTTTCGTGGTCCGCTTGACGAATTAATACATGACAATTAATTAAGGCTTTTAGTTGAGATGAAAAAAAGTTAATGGCACGAGAGGGATTCGAACCCACGACCTTCGGCTAGATACGCCGCTGCTCTACCACTTGAGCTATCGTGACCTCGATCCACTCGGACACTAACTTCCCATCTCAACCCCACCTTTTGAATTTTCCCTCCTTTTTGCCATTTTTCAAATGTCGTGTAATCGGATTGGATTCTCGACGACAAATGAAATGGCCACGGAGAGCTTTAGTGAAGTGTACTTCATTTTAATTCATTAAATTCACTAATTTCGTGGTCCGCTTGACCAATTAAATCATTACACTTAATTAAGGTTTTTAGTTGAGATGAAAAAAAGTTAATGGTTGTTAATTGTAGTTCAATTCAGTTTGTCTAGGTTATCATGGCGTTGAATTTCGCTATGATCCAGAGGGGTTATGAATTTTTAAGTGAAACAATAGCACACCAAAAAAAAATTATCCATCTAAAAAATATCTAATTTTTGTATGCCATAAAAATTCGTATTTAAGGGTTTTAAACGGTGCTTAACATGAATCTAAATAGAATTTTTTCAATTCAAAACTTTTTTTTTTTTTTTGCCTACGTTACTGGAAGCGTCTTTTGTAACTTTTTATATATTTATTACCATTTAACGTTTCTTGAGCAATGTTACTTCAGAGCAACACCAAGTTTAGCAAATTTGCTAAAGCTTGCGTAATGAGTTTTTGGCGGAGGCAGCGTTTTTCTTTCAGTGTTTCAAACCGTATATTGGCAAAACTGATTGTTTTGGCGCTAAAATGTCTAGAATATTTCCAAAATGACTCTTCATTCCACCAACTTTTATAAACTGTTGTATTTTCCGAACATAAAACTTTTCACATCCGTGTTCTAATTTAACCTTTATTTGCCCAAAGGTGCATCAAAGCAATAGCAACTTCAGCAATTTTGTTGAAAGCTAGCAGGAAAACCCGTGATTTTAGGGCGGGAACAGTGTTGTTCCTGCTCTGTTTTATTGGCAACACTGATTTATTTGGTGCCAATCTAAACTGTCTATCACTAAACTCATGGGATTTCCCGCTAATCTTTTTACAACATTACTGAACTTCTTCTTGCTCTAATACATCATTAGGCCATGTAGGGTTAATACAATTCTGCACATTAGTTTTTATTCTAGATAAAAAAAACAAATCGACTTATACATAATAACATTGGAATACATTCACAATAAATACATATTATTTAGAGATCGTGAGATGCGGTCTGGTGTGATGTAGGTTTAGAAAAACATTTTTTTATAGTGCCAACGTTTCAATCTTTATTGAGATCATCTTAAGGCCTGGGATTTATAAACATTGTTTAAATTATACAAATACATGTAAGATTTAAACATTAAATTCACATGATTAATTTAAACAATCTTAATAAAAATCAAATCGTTGGCACTATTAAAAATGTTTTTCTAAACCTACATCACACCAGACCGCATCTCACGATCTCTAAATAATCATTAATTAACGGTCACTAAATACCACACAAAATAAAATACAAAGGTAATTTTCGTAGATATGATCCTAGGGCACATTCACAAAAAACGCTTGGACACGTGTTTAACTTTTTCTACCTAGCATGGTGAAAAAATTACATAACATTCGGGCACAAGCTTACCGTCTGACCAAAAAAAAAAAAAAAAGTTCGAAAGCCTCTATCATCATACAGTCCAAACCTTCCTTCGACAGACGATTACTGGTTTAGACCCATGGCCCACTTTTACTTAAAGGGAAAAATTAACAGTTTTGTAGAAGCCAAAATTTTGTCGCAAGAATTTTATCGGCAACGGTGGATCACAATTTATTCCTCATTGCTCAGATATGAGCTATCTAAGGTAGCTATCTTCTCAACTGAGAGCCCGAATAAACGACAAGTTTCTTTCTGATTGCAGGGTGATGCCGGGATGATCAGACCGAGGAGAAGCAGCGGCAGTGGAAACGGAGGAGGCCCGAGCGGCACAGGAAGCAGCGCAGACACTCACGCCGTACCGATTGCAACCGAAAATCACCCGACGAGAAAAGCCGCGAGGGCCGCCTCACCTCCCAACCGGTAAACTCTTGGATGAGGCAAAAAAGCTAAACTATAATCAATATAAAATGAATTCAATTCTTTTTAAATGAACAAAATAGGCCAGTGCTCTTCGCAGCAAAACAAAATATTAAGCAAACTTAAAAACAAACAACACTTTTTCTAGTTTTAATCTAATGAGTAATTTGTATGTTGATTATTTCCTTTGAGTGCTTTTACGCTTTCCTATCAAACATCCGGACGTGTAACAAACATCTGAACAAACCCGAGAAAAAAATGTGTTGATAAATCTGATGGAAGAGCGCCCATTGATCCATCCATCGTCCTATCCATCGATTAGGAAATGTCGATTTCAGGAGCGGAGGAAGAGAAACACTGGAATGATACGGTGCTCTGTCTTCCTCGGAAGAAAATATCGTCGCTTACGTTCTCATCGCTTTACGGAAAAAATCAAACTTTGCACTTCATTGACAATAAAACGCCCACATATGCCGTGTTTGTTATTGCCTCCATCAATTTGATCACATATTATGAGGTACATATTTGTATATCAATTTATTCAATGTGCGTTGGAAAAATGGGAGTATTAGTATAGATGCCTTTTAGTACTAAATAAAAAATTACGGATTTTATGCATGCCCCCTACCTGCAATTTTTTCGAATTTGGACTCGTAGTTTTCCTTGAATTTTACTAATTTACTTATTAATTAAATAATTTAATTAGTTTTGTTGGCTCTCGTCCAAAGAAGAAAATCCCAAAGTGTAATTTTTTACTTCTCAAGGCGCTTCGAATAGATTCAACCCCGCGTGACAGATCGGTCGGGCGGGTTTAGCATAGCAATCCGCCGTCTAAGACTCCAAGTTAACTTCGAATTAATCATTTTTAATTTCATATTAACGGTTTTTAACTTTCAATTAATCATTTTTTAATTTCATATTAACCGTTTTTAACTTTCAATTAATCATTTTTATTTTCATATTAACGTTTTTAACTTTCAATTAATCATTTTTATTTTCAGATTAACCGTTTTTAACTTTCAATTAATCATTTTTTAATTTCATATTAACCGTTTTTAACTTTCAATTAATCATTTTTATTTTCATATTAACCGTTTTTTAACTTTCAATTGATCATTTTTATTTTCAGATTAACCGTTTTTAACTTTCAATTAATCATTTTTAATTTCATATTAACGGTTTTTAACTTTCAATTAATCATTTTTATTTTCAGATTAACCGTTTTTAACTTTCAATTAATCATTTTTATTTTCAGATTAACCGTTTTTAACTTTCAATTAATCATTTTTAAATTCATATTAACCGTTTTTAACATTCAAATGACACTTTTTAAGTTCAAATTAAAAATTAAGAAAATCGTATGAAATGTATCTAAGAATATATAAAATACATATAAACATTTTAAATTAAAAAAATGTATTAGTATTTTTTTTAAATATAGAATAATTCTGAATACAGATGGTCATACAGGCTTAATTATTAATTCATTAATTAATAATTAAAATAAAAAATGATGTAAAATTAAACGTTTAAACAAAGGATACTTCTTTTAGTTTGAAATTTTTTTTTTTTAATATAAAATTGGTTCTTATTTAAAATACCAGATGAGAATAATTTATAATTAAAATTTGAACTTGAATTTATATAAAATTACATAATCGTTTTGTTGACCAATTGATTTATATTTTAAAAAATTCTGTTTTATAAGAAGAACAATTTCTTTTTATATTTAATTTTATATACTTTTAATTTTAATTAATTTTCAAGTAATATAAGTTTTACATAAGAACTTATTTTATAATTTCAAAAATTCTCAAAATAAAAGACGAATACGTTATTTCTGTATTTAATTTTATATCATAAGCGTAAACATTTTCTATTTGGAAAAAAAAATCGCAAATATACAGAATTTTACTTTTAGTTACTTATTATTTACGTCACCTTTGGATGGAGCCGGTGGCCGGTCGGATCGCGTCAGGTTGGCTTGCGACTTCGAACGATTAAGTTGGTTGTTGTTTTGTTTTTTCCACTGCTTATATAATTTAAAATGTAATTAAACACTTAAATTATCGTTACACTTATTCGACCGATCATTGCTTACTGTGTGTTTTTCTTCGTCATCGTGGATTGTCGAAGATTTGTCGGTAAGCTCTTTCCACCACACGAAGTAAGAGTTTTCCATCCGGATTTTATTTCAGTAATTTATAACATTCCTGGTGCCCCTGAATTCCCCGTGGATGAAGGAATGTGACGATGAAGGAGGGTAAGTTTAATTTTCGACAATTTTTCAAATTTTTTCTTTGTCTTCGTTGTTAATCCTACAGTCTATTGCATTGCTAAACCATTTATATTTTACGTTTATTACATTTGACCTTTTACTTAAATTGAAGTTTAAAAACAGTTATTTTACGATTAAAAGGGTTAATTTGAAGAAAAAAAGAATTTCTTTGAAATCAAAAAGTTAATTTGGTGCGAAAAAGGGCAACATAAATCTCAAATATACAGAAATTTTACTTCACATGCACTTTTTGTGATTCTTTAAAGGATATGTTAACGTGAAATTTAAAAAAGATTAATTTGAAACTAATAAAGGTCAATTGAAAGTTAAAAAGGTGTAATTTGAAGTTAAAAATGGGAATTTGAAATTTAAAAAAGTGAATTTGAAATTAAAAGTTTATTTAAAAAGGTTAATTTGCAGTTGAAAGGGTTAATTTGAAGCTAAAAATGGTTAATTTGGGATTAAAAAGGGTTGATTTGATGTTTAAAAGGGGTAATTTGAAATTAATAATCATTAATCCATTTATGTTTAGTGGTCTAATTGATTAATAATAATAATAATATATACTTTATTGCAAAAAGGTTATAAACATTACGTAATATATAATTAAAGTAAACTTATGTATCAGCGTCCGTCTGAGGTCGATATACATTTGACTTAAATTTAAGGTCGGCACGGAAAAAAATAAAAATAAAATACAATTAATCCTTAACTAAATATTACATTTAATAGTTTATTAGTTTTTAATTTGACATTAAAATAGGTGTATTTAAAATTGAAACATGTTAATTTGAAGCTATAAAGGGTTAATTTAAGTTTAAAAATGGTTAATTTGACATTAAAAGGGGTTGAATTGACGTTAAAAAAGGTTAATTTGAAATTAAAAAGGGTTAATTTGAAGACAGAAATATTCAATTGTTGCGAAAAATTGTCAAGTTTAAAGTAGTAATTGTTAAAATTAGCGGGGCGGGAAATAATCGTTGAAATCACATATGGAATAAATAGATAATAAATAAATTACATTTTCCGAATTTCGTTCCTTTTGTTCCAGCACAAGAAGTAACCAACGGTGGATGAAACTGAGGACGACCGTCCAACTTTCTGGTGCGATACAGAAGAACAAAGCACAACTAAAAAGAGAAGATTCTTTTCTTAAACGGTTTTCTACACGACAAATTCCAGAACCGCAGGTACTCAATCAGTTTACTACCGCTTGAACCTGGTGAAAATATTTTTGAACAATATATCGAAGAACTACAATTATTTATACATTATTTCAGGCTTTTTGATATAATATTTTCCGATTACTAAACATTTATTTTATGGTCGCAATTATTCCCAAAAAAGAAACCATAGTTTAAGGGTAAGTTAAGGTTAAAAGAGTCGCCCTCTTTTCGACTACGGACAACATGGCCAATATTAGTCTATTGTGCAATTTCCAATATAGCTAGAGCTCTTCGTTAATCTTAAGGTTTGTTATAAGATCAGACAGCTTTGCTGTTTCCCTTAGACCTTGGCTTTTTCAGAAATCTCAATGTTTGCACCATCCGAGGACATTCCGTTGTTTTTAGTTGTTCTTTCTTCATCGTGCATCTGCACAGGCTTGTTTCTGCAGGATCAGCATCCCAGTCCACATGCCTCCGGGGGTCAACAGTGTCCAAGCAGCACTCCTACTACAATATATATTTCCAATCCTAACACCTCCTACTGATAGATCTCCTTTCTTTGCCAATTCCGTATACCGCAAAAAGGTTCAGTTGTCCTCATCGATCGTCCCTTGACCAATTTATCGACCTCTCTTCTTCACCCTCTGCTCTATGTGTCCTGGTGATTTTGTTATTTTCCCTAATGTCTTACATAGCCTTGATTCAAATCCCAACTCGGAACTTTACTACTGATAAGGTAGTTAATTACCTGTTTGCCTTTATTTTCTTGCTGTTGTACTTGGCTATTCTTTCGTTGGCACCACCCAGCTTTTCTATCTGGTTGAATCATTATTCAGCCTCAGTCTCCACCTGAAACATAGTGGAATATTTACCAAGGCTTATAAGGAGTCGATTCCTTGGTTTATTTTTATAGATGCCAGATACTGGCTCAGTCCTGGAGCAACATCAACAGGCAACCCCAGAACCTTGTCTGCCTGAAGTTCCTCCCTAAGTTGTTGTGCCTGTCTTTGTTGCGGTAGGCACTGGATTGAAAGGCTGTCCAGATTAGTCTTTGAATTTCAGTGCTAGGTAGATAACCATGGTGGTAGATTCAGGAGGACCTCCAGGAAATCGTACATGTTCCTTAAGTACCAGCCATGCTACCAGCAGGAACCAGTAGGATCTTGACGTTCTCAGCTGTCTTTCACCCACCGAGGTTATCATGGGTCTAAGGGATTACTTTGGATTCATCTCTCACAGATCTCATTTTCTCCGAAATGCGTTTACATCGCTCTTTGTGTGATTTTATTTAGTTGATAATACAATACCAAGAAAGACATTGGCTCAAGATGACGTCTAGACTTCATTATAGAAGGGCACTTAGCGGAAGTGGTTTATGCACTTTTAGTGTTCTTTTATTAGTAAAGAAAACCACTGGTAACTTTTTTTTCGTTATCTGTAAGTTTAGTGCATATGTTGCTACATTGATCGAAAATGTAAGGAGGCGCCATCAAAATGAAAATGTTTAATAATATTACTCCGTTACAGGAGCTAAAAGACATATTTCGGCCTGACCTCGCGTTTGTTACCTAATACGTATTGTATACGCGTATTGTATAAAATCACATTATCATTACATGCACATGATTTGTCCGTAGGTCGAAAGGAAATTGTGGACGCGATGCCCGCCGGGCCGTGGTGGAGTTGCACCGTTTTACCTCTTTGCCCAATACATTTTTTAAATATAAATTAAACATCCCGCATAATAAACTATTCGATCTAACCTTACAGTGATATTCCTCCTATTTTCTTCTTTTTTCCAGTTCTCAGCGAGTCTGTTTTTCAGGGGACATTAGATACTGGAGACGACGAAGAAGGGGACAGCGAGATCACGTCGAACGGCACGATCACAGGCGAAAAAAAGAGCCGGAAGAAGAAAAAAAGACGAAAGAGGCCTCCTGCCACCGTCATCAATCCAGACGGTCGTTTCTTCTACTACTGGCTGTTACTAATAACCGTCTGCGTCCTGTACAACTTCTGGATCCTGATAGCAAGGCATAGCTTCCCGGAGCTGCAGGACAGACACAACCGATTTTGGATGACGTGCGACATTTTTACCGATATAGTGTTCATTTTGGATATCGTCGTCCAGTTTAGGACAGGGTATCTGGAACAGGGTCTTATGGTCTATGACACCAAGAAATTGGCCGGTCACTACATGGAATCCAATTCCTTCCTTCTCGACTTGATAACAGTCTTTCCTCTTGATCTGCTCCAATTGAATTTGGGCATCAAACCGCTTTTACGTTTTCCTAGATTTTTTAAGGTAGGTAACACTTTTATTATTGAGATTATCTTGGTTTTAATTAAAATTTCGTTTTTAAAACAGAGAGGCTTTTATTTTTATTTATTTATTTTTTTTTTTTTGCTGGGGCTTCCGACATCTAGGTCATTTCAGCCCCCCGCTAAGTCTATATTCTATATTCTTTACCCGTTCAAACACAACATTCATACACTTAAATACATCTATACAGTACACTCATTCCGTTTGGTCGGTGGAGTAAGTACTTGATATTCCTCCACCGACCTACACTTAAACTAAACTAGATTGGGGTCGATGGGGTACTTTTATAAATATTCCGCCATCGACCCCGAAAACACACTCACTCGCTTTTATCGTCCGAGGGGCGATGATGACGTTATATTCACCCTCACCCCTCGCCATTCACGCTAATAAATACATGCACACAGACAAAACATATAGACACATAACACATAAGACATACTATATACAATAAAAAAACCCAATTTCCCCTAAAAAGCGGAACAGGGGACTCTGAAACTCGCTACCGTGCTCGAGGACTCTTCTTAAATCCGGCGGCATGCCTACACGCTCTCTGTATGGAGCCAAGGCATGACACGCCTCTATTATGTGGGACACAACGAGCAACCTTTCTCTGCATAAGGGGCACCTGCGCCTTTGGCCCAAAAGCAGGTGCCCATGTGTCAACCGAGTATGGCCAATAGAGGCTTTTATTGCTTAAATTTATTATTCACTCATCGAAAGGATGCACAATCTTCGAGAACAAAAAGTTAAATAAAGTATAATTTATTTGGATAATTTCAAATCTATTATCGTAATAGACTTTAAAAAATCCACGTATTTCCTTCCTTTTGTCTTCCATTACTGATTCTGAAAATTTGAAGATGAAGCAGGAATATCCATCCAAGAAATCATGTTTTCTGCCTTGTGTTTCAGCCTTGTTTCACTCAGCATTTCGTACGGCAAGTGTTGTAAAGAGTTTTTCGGACAAATTTAACCTCCCTTTTAACCCTTTTAACCCTTTTAACTTCAAAGTAACCCTTTTAAATTTCAAATTAACGCTTTTTAGTTGGAAATAAACCCTGTTTATCATCAAATTAACACTATTTATTCCTAAATTAACACATTTCCAACTTTAAATTTATTCTTTTTAATTTCAAATTAACCTTTTTAATATCAAATTAACTCTTTTTAATCTCATATTAACCTCTTTTTAAAACCAAATTAACCCTTTTTTAATCCCAAATTAACCCATTTATAACTTTGAATTTACCCTTTTTAATTTAAAACCCTTTTAATTTTAAATAACCAATTTTAATTGCAAAGTAACCCTTCTAACATCAAATTAACCCCTTTTTAATCCGAATTAACCCATTTTTCATTTCAAATTAATTCTTTTTTAATTGCAAAGTAACCAAGTTTTAACGTTGAATATACCATGTTTAATTTAACATTAATCCTTTTAATTGTAAATTTGCATTTTTAATTCAAATAAACCCTTATTAATCCCAAATTAACCACTTTTAACTTTAAATTAATCCTTTTTTAATTGCAAATGTTTTTTAACTTTAATTTAACCTTCTTTATTTTCAAATGTTTCCATCTTCCAGGGATGACTTTTTTCACTAGACGAGGGCACATGTAATTTTACCCACTGCGATTTAAAATATGTATTGTGGAACTGACCCTTCTTTATTTTCATACCCAGAAAACGCATCTTCACCGTAGTTGAGCATTTTCCGGATTGCCTCATTTAGTCAAGGAAGGATATTAGTATTTAATTACTGTATATTTGTAATAATAATTATTTGTAATAATTATTGTATGATTATTCTAAATATTAATTTATGAAGCAACTCTCCGTGTCACAGTTAGTCAAAGGCTTGTTGTAATATGTGATCTTTATTTTTTTGAATCCCTTGATTACAGCTTCCATCAGGCGGTAGGTTTGTTAGTAGCCTATTATTAGTTAGTAGTTGTTTCAAGGCTATAATTGGTAGCTTATAATGCCCAAGGCTCTATTTAACTTCAATTTTCTTGTATAACGTTCTATACTACCAAGGGGTGGAGAGAAACGAACATTAAATTATATGAATTTTTTTTAATTTTTTAAAAAAGAACATGTTGTTTTATTGTTATAAGGAGGAAAATTTTAATTTATTGTTGCAGGTTCATCGTGTATATCATTATTATTATATCGTCGAAGCAAGGACTGTTTATCCCAACGTGCTACGTGTTGTGAACCTAATCCACATCCTTCTCATCCTCGCTCATTGGTTCGGATGTTTCTACTACCTTCTCTCCGAAGCCGAAGGGTTCCAAGGCGATTGGGTCTATCCGTACAGGCCTGGCGAATACGCCACCCTCAGCAGAAAGTACCTCGCATCGTTGTACTGGTCCACTCTTACGCTCACAACGATTGGAGACCTGCCGACTCCTGAAACAAACGCTGAGTATGTGACTACAAACAAAGTAAAATTTTCGGCATTTAATGACTGTCGTACTTTTAACTCTAGCCTAATATAACGAGTTATATTATATATCCGTTATAACTCTTTTTTTTTTTGCGTACGTTGTGAAATTTGATGGGATATACGTAGGACGAAGTAAGAAGTAACTTTTATTTGAATATGACAATAAGAATAGGGTCTGAGATTTATCCGTCTTGTCTGCTGGGTGATGAACGTGTAATTTGGTTTGCCTATCCTAGCTGGGTCACGAACCCGTTCGTAACCCACTCTAACCCAAGTCTAATCATAACCTGAACTCTGTCTTGCATAACATGTCCAATAATAACTCTAACCTAAACTAAGTCTAATTATAGCCTAACATCTAATCATAAACGTAACGCTATCTTACCTAACCTAAGTCTAATCATAACCCAAATCCTAACCCGAAGTCTATTAATAACCCAACCTAAGTCTAATCCTAATCCTAATCCTTTCCTAATTCATCAAGAGTTCATTTATGATGGATATTTTTGAACACTGAATTATACTGGGCGCAAGTAGGAAAAATGTAAGCGAAATTATCAAAAATCTAGGAGCAAGATAACGCTCGGCCAAACGCGCTTTCCATCTGATTGAATCAACAAAAATGCCCCCGGTTGATCCAGCCCAAAAAAATGACTATTTTTGTTTGCCATAAAATTAATATTTTCTCTAAACCTTTCTTTGAACTGTGTTTAAACCGAATCTGAGTTGATTGTTTCATAAGTGTTTTGGTTTTTGTAATTTTTCATATGTTAAATCTCATTTAAAACGATTCTCCATGTTATTGTCTCATCCTAAATACAAAAACCAAGTAGAGTGGTATATAATAACATCGAAAGTCCGGTGGTTTTTCCCAATGGGGGCCCTAGGATCATCACTGAATAAGCTATTACAATAACACAAAATTTATGACAGAGCGACTTAGCAAAATAAGTTAAATTTTTTAGAAAGTAACCAAGCTGATATTTTTTTCGCTTCCAAAAACCCTGCATTCAAATTTTTAAAAAAATTAAAAAGTTTTCTCAATATGTTTACTTCTCAATAAAATGCATGTGATTTTTTCCGAAAAACTACAGGAATCTTTACAAAGTTTTAGAATAATTTAAACTATTCAATATGGGACCCATTTGACGTCCGTAAATATATTAAAACTGGAGGATTTTTCTCACTTATGACGACATAAAGATTAAATCCTGCATATACAGAATGAAAAAAAATACATTTACCTTCATAACGATTGTATCGTATCAATATTGAATTTGGATAAAATCGAGAGAGGTTATGAATTTATAAGCGTAACAAAAGACGTCGGTGGGAAAAAAATTGGCGCATCCAGTCAAAAATGTACATTTTACATACAAATTCGTATTTAGGCGATTTAAAAGACGTTTAAAAAGTATCCAAATTGTTTTGCCTTAAAATAATTGTTGGTATACTATCAATGGTTTCTTCCATATTATTTTCTTATCCTACTTACCAAAGCAAATCGAGTGATATATAATAACATTGAAATACAAGCATAACAATGGCAGAAAACGTACTAAAAAAAAATATTAAAAATACTTCTGAATACACTGACAGGCAAAAAATTCCGCCCACTTGTAATATAACTTGATTTGTATACATTTTTATACTAATCAAAGGTGCACGTTTTTTAACGTTTAATAATTGAGTCTTTGTCCAAAGAAGTAAAAAATAAATAAATTACAAAGGAAAATTTAAAAAAATAATTAAAAAACACGGACAGATATAATTTGTTTTAATTTTGTTTTGTTTTGATGTTCATTTTTAATTAACATTTCAATTTCGCGTATTTCCTCCTTTTGCCTACATCTCGAAGACGGCTCGGCATGCTTTCTACCGGTCTGGGAATTTCTCAGTGCGGGAGGTTAGCCCATCCTAGAAGAGTCCTTTCAAGATGGTGGAGTGTATTAGGAAGTGATGGTCGTGCTCTTATTCGTCTTTTGAGGTTATTCCATAAATGTTCGACGGGGTTCAAGTCTGGAGAACGGGCTGTCCAAGCTAAGACCCTGATGTTATGCTGTTGCAGGTACGTTTGTTCTATGCGAGCGATATGTGGACGAGCATTATCGTGCATTAGAATATGATTGTGTCTGATTTCATACAGCATAGGCAAAGCATGTGTTCCAAAATTTCATCCACATAGCGAGTGGTCGTCGAAGACCCTCCACGAACAACAACCAACTCTGTGCGACTCTCCATTTAAATTCCCGCCCACACCATCACTGAGCTACGTTGAAAAGGTTGTTAAGGTACCTTTCATTTCGCCTTCTCCACACTCTTTCACGCCCATCTGGAGATCGTAGAGCAAATCTACGCTCATCTGTAAAATGTACAGGAGTCCAATCGACCAAAGACCAATGGCTTTATTCTCGAATAAATGCGAGCCGTGCAACTCTGTGTTCTGGTCAATTCTGATCCTCTTACGGGGCGAATAGCCATCAGTCCATACTGATTTAATCTTCTTCGAGCAAAAATTTGGACGCATCGAACTTCCCGGAGCTGATGAATCGCTTGAACAACAGTAAGGTGCCGGTTTCGCAAAATTCTCAAAGTCAAAGAACGGTCATCCTGCGGTTCTGGTACCTAGGGCGTCCAGAACCGGGCTTTCTAAAGGACACATTTTATCGAAAACGTCTAACGGCGTCTCGCAGTGTCTCGTAGGGAACTCCGATGGCCATAGCCGCATACGTGATGGAACGTCCATCATCAATAAGTGTCACACCACGCGCAACATCCAATAAGTGGCATTTTTATGTTTAACAATTGAAATTGAGAAAACAAAGATGAAAACTAAACAACTTATTGATTCAGAATTCAAATAAGACTGAATAAACATTTTAAATTCCTTGAAAATTAAACATTGAAACATCCTTTATCCTTGTTTTGGATTAAGGATTAAGTGTGTTTACGTCTAACTGATATTCCCAATTTAAAACATAGCATAAACAAATATTTATTGATAAAAACAATGAGACAAATTAAGAGCAGAGTTTTCTTTTATCGAGAAAATGAAAAAAAAATCAGTTGGGTGGAATTTTTTGCGTGTCAGTGTATTTATTTCTACGCTCCTTGGGTCAATTGGCAAGAATGGTCAGACACCTACCAAATATTTTTCGATCTATTAGCACGAAAAAAATGAAATCGGCCATTCCCAACGTCCGTAGCGTCATTTGTTGGAAAAACTATATAAACAAAAGCTCACGTTGTTTGACTACCATGAATTTCCTAATGCTCAATAATAACTATCAACGTGAGTCCTGAAGTCATGGACTATCCTTGTTTTTTAATATTGTAAATAATTTGCATTACAGTAAAGGGGCAGCCAACCACTATAGGATTACAAGTAGAGGTCACAAAACTCGGCTCCTTCAGTTTCATTCGTCTTGGGGGTCAGTATTATTAGGCCCGGAGCAAAGTTACCATACAATAATCAAATTAAAAAAAAAAAAACTATTTAATTTTTGTAATACCTTTTTATTAACCGTTTTCCTCGTTTTGTTGATTGATTTTATTTAAACAATTAAGGCCCATGTGCGTCTATCACTGTGAAAAGTCCAAATTATACGATTATATGTATCTTCTACCAGCATTATTGATTCAGATTTTGTATGAAAACTTTGCTACTGGCCATACAGATTTAATTTCTTTCAAATATATAGAAAATTATATCTTTTATGTAACAAATAGCAAAACCACTTACAAGTCTGATCAATAGTGCTGAAATCTTTGTGCCGAGAGTTTTCAATAATGTTTTCTCTATTACTCCTTCCAGATATATTTTTACCATTGTTGGATATTTAATCGGAGTCTTCATATTTGCAACAATAGTCGGTATGCATTGTGTATAATTGATGTTATATTTAGACCAATAATTTATTCAAATGTGATTTTAGGTCAAGTCGGCAATGTAATTACAAATAGAAATGCCAACAGACTGGAATTTGAGAGACTGCTGGATGGGGCCAAATCGTACATGAGACACCATAAAGTCCCAGGCGGGATGAAGAGACGTGTCCTCCGGTGGTATGATTACTCCTGGTCCAGGTAACAGACTTCTCAGTTGGACTAAATAAATATAGGTTGTTTCTGTGTTGAATTTCAAGCAAAATCTCGTTACATTTGCACTCCTGTTTTTCTTCTTTTAAGAAGTCTTTTTTCACAATGCAAACAGTTCTTTTTCCATTTTCTACTGCACACTTTTAAAGTTATCTTTTCTAGTAGAGAAAACCATTTATTGCTTCATCTGTGGTCGTTGAAATGGTCTAGTTTTGATACGTTGCCTTTATTTTGTTCACATTGATTAAAAATTAGCGTCCGTTTTTCCGACGAAATTTTTTATTATATTTATTGTTATAACTCCACAAGTTGATGGATTTTAATTCTGATATCTTTTTCTTTTTCAGAAGAGACTAGATAACTATTCAATTCAGAAATTGTATCGAATTTAAGGAATTTTTCAAAATAGTTTACTTGTGCAAAGATAGGCCAAAAATTTTACCACTTCATGATTTTATTTTACTCAAAATCTATTTCGTCTATTACAACCAACGTATTTTTCTTCGATTTCTTTAAAAGTAGCTTAAAATTATCATATCAATTTCAAATCAACCATTGGTAAATGAAAAATTATTTTTTCCTTCAATTTAACCCTTTTTAACATCAAATTAACCGTTTTCATTTCAAATGAGCCATTTTTACCTCAAATTGACGATTTTAATATCAAATAAACCCTTTTAACTTCAAATTAACTTATTTTAATTTCAAACTAACCTTTTTATTTCAAATTAACATTTCTAATTTCAAATCAACTCTTTTTAAATTCAAACTTACTTTTCCACGTGAAATTAACCTTCAATTTAAATTAAAATTACCCCTTTTTGATGTACTATTTATATTTTTTTATGTTCAAATTAATCCCTTTTTTACCTTCAAATCTACCCTTTAGAATGTCAAATTAACCATTTTTAACTGCAAAATAACCTTTATAACACCGGACCCTTACACTTTGTAATTCCAAATTAACTTATTTTTAACTTCAATTTAACCATTTNTTTTAATTTCAAATTGACCTTATTTAATTTCAAACTAACCGTTTCTTTAATGGATTAAAAAACACAAAGATAGCATCAAATATAAGCATGTAAAGTAAAATTCTGTTCATTCGCAATTTTTAGTAACCTAATTGGTCTTTAAAATAATTATTTAATGTGTGAGAAGCTGTTTTTGCAATATAAAATAATTATTTTACAGACCAAAAAAATTTCAATTTAATAGGAGAACCATTTGTTTTTATATTTCATTTTATATCAATTTTAATTTTAATTAATTTTCATACTGTCTTCCAAACCCCAATTATTATTTTATATTTTTAAAAAATCGCAAATATACAAAAGATTATTTTCCATGCTTATTATCCATACCATCTTGTAAAATTTGTAATGCTTTTGAAGAAAGGGTTAATTTGCAGTTAAAAAGGTTGATTTGGCAGAAAAAAGCTATTTATATAAGAGGAGAGCCTTTAAACAGTGCAAAATGATGTTGAATTGCAAGCTCACTATGGGTAGAAACACCCTAACACTTAATTCGCAACTTTCAGAAAATTGTTTGAATCGTTTTTAAAACACGGAATCGTACGATACCAATTTCTTTCATTGTATAAAAGGTTTTAGTTTATTATTTTAAAAATTAAAAATTATAGAAATGCATGGTCTGAAAAACGGTCGCTGCCAAGCACACAGTAGAATTAGAACCAAAACGATCCACGGATTTATAGATCCAACCTCATGATTCTTTATAGGTTATTTTAGATTTCGGTTTATAAGAGTCAATCTCTATTGGATCTTGTGATAAGTGACCAATATTATTCGTTAAGCTTTTTATCAGTTCCCACAGCATCGAGAGGATGTTCCGCTGTTTCACCTTCCTCCTGGCAGTATCCTTCTAGTGCGTGTCTATACTATTGCCTTCGGGCTTTTAGTGTGCAGTCAGCAGTCGTACTATCATTCGAGTTCAAGGGTTAGCAGTAGGTTTATCTTTGGCCATGGTGCTATAATGATCCGTAGTAAAAAATGGGTTACTGCCAACTGGTATGCCCTGCTACCCAAACAAGGTTAATTTTTATTTTACTCAATGTCTGACTCAAAGCTCTGGACTTTATTACATATGAGGTAGTTGTCTTTATTACTCCCTGGCTGTACTTTCGTTGGGAATACGAAAAGCCGGGGGCGTCGGTGGCCCCAACGGTTTAGGCGTTGATACGGCGCTCATCACTGTAAGGTAAAGGTCCCGGGTTCGAATGCAGGGCCGCTGGATACTATAACTTCTGCTGTTGGGAACCCTCATTTAAAAAAAGCCATTTGATCTCCCTGGCATTGCGTTATATGATCTCCACCAGAAATACAGTGACATATTTCCCAAGTATTATAGCAGTTCTTGGTTCTTGGTTTATTTCCGTAGATACGAGCTCGATATTTAGGTTTGGGAGCACTCTGTATACCAGATAGTCGACAGTTACTTCCTTTCGTCCAGTCTGAACTGTTCGGTATTATGATTTTCCTTTTTTTTTTAATCTGAATTCTAGTAAAATATGTCAACTAGTTTTAGAGAAAACATGTCAAAATATTGACAAAACACAACTTTCAGACGAAAGTGGTTTTTCGGTTTTGAATGAAATAAATTTACGTACAAATCTAGACCTAGACTGATACTTTCTTTTGAAAAAGTTATTTTATCATCGAACTGATCGTAGAACTGTTTATTTCAAGGTAATATTGTTCATCAAGTTTAAAAAGTTTTTATTTTCTGCTTTGTTGGTGTTTGATTTGATATTCCTGTTGGTGACTCTTTCACCTCTGTCATGTGATATTGTGTCTTTAGTTCTTTTATCTCTTAATAATGGTGAAGCACAAAAGGTTTTTGAAAAAGCAAAAGAATGACAGGAAATGACGGTCTTGCCACAAAATGTAGACCCGTCCACAGCAGAGAACATTTTGTATGCATCTCGTTTACCTTGTTGCATTCGCTTAAACAAGAAACAACAAATCCTGGACATTTTGGTGTTGGTATTTTGTAATTTTGATAAGACGAAGTTTTTTTATTTTTAAGTTAGGTAAACAGTGTTATCTGAACCCGGAAGCAGGGTGTCATAGTAACCAGGCGTTCAATTCCTTAAAACTATCCAATTTTAAAAATCACAAAATAAAATATATTTGCTTATCAGAATTACAAAATTATTATAGCAAAAGGTGGTGGAAGGCTTTTTGTATTTTTGCGGTCTGCAGTAGTGAACATGCTTGATCGTCTTCGATCTCTCCGTCCTGACAGTTTTTCAGAGATTCGCCTATTTGCGATTTTGAACGAAAGTAGTGCTGGATTTTTAATTTTTTCTCAGTAAATAAATTTCTGTTAAATATTATTTTTTACAGGTGTCACATGAGAAAAGACTTCACAAAACTATAAGTTTTTCATTCTAGTTTTACACTCTCTTCTTATTCATACTAACCGACCTATATTTATGAAACCAAGCAGGTTTTGTACTTGAAAAGACTGTTAACTTTCCGTCTCTTGGCTGTTTTCACTTTGATCTTTATCACAAATCAACCTAGAAGCACTGTCAACCGAGTTAATTACACGACATTAAATCACTTTGTTTCCTATTGTTCGTTTTCATTTCGAACAACCGTTCTTCAAGGGCTGTTGACAGTGTATTTTGGTGGAGAGTTAGCAGGCTTTTCAATATACCATGAACAGTCCCAGTACTTATGTTCCAGAGGTAGAATCCAAGGTGGTGGTGATATTCACAGCGCTTTGGGATTGTTGCCTGACAAACTGAAAACAGAATTAGCACTCCATGTCAACTTGAGTGTTCTGAAGAAGGTCGATATCTTAGTTATCATATCATTTATGTTTTTTAAACTGTATTAAATAATTGAACAGGTGACGATTTTTCAAGAATGCCAGCCGGAATTTTTGCACGATCTCGTTTTAAAAATGAGAGCATTTATATTTACACCTGGAGACTTGATATGCAGGAAAGGCGAAGTGGCGCGAGAAATGTTTATTATTGCTGACGGTGTCCTGGAAGTTATCAGGTACATAAATCAACATTTTTATAATAAATATTAAATGATAAATAAATTAGATAATGAGATATATGACAGGCGGCTTTCACACCAAAGAGACAGCCGGCACGAGACTCTCAATGAAAAACAATAAAACGACACCCTTTCACACTGAAGGGACATTGAGACATAGTTAATTCTGATGTCTGAGGGGGTGATATAAATAAAGAGATGATATATAATGTGGGAAGCTTAGGGACCGGTAAAAAGCTGAGGTCATCGCCGGCCCTTTGCTTGTTTTTACTTATTTTTCGGGCTTTTTACGCGTATTTTTCCAACCTGCAGAAATTTGGGCATCTCAATTTTTTACTGACTTTTGTATGAAAACTAAGCCAATCTACTAAAATTTTATGGTATCATTACTTCCTCAAGTTGTCAACTAGAGAATAGATACAAAACATACAATACGTGCCCATAATACTCGATATTCTTCAGGCGGGGTTAAATGACCTCCTTCCTTTCACGCTAAAAAATTACGTTCATTCCAAACACAACACAAATATTATATACATGTAAAAATTCGTCCAGCCCCGAGGATCAGCGATCTGTACCCGCTACCGTGCGCCAAGACGGGGCACAGGTACGACGATATGCCAAGATATTGCCTAAAAAACGTCAAGCCTTCTACAACGAAAAAGTGCTCGGCTTTTATTAGCAATCGCTTTCCGGCTAGAAGGTACCCTTGAGTTTTTCTTGAATGATTTAAGCGCAGTGTCAGTATGGCCTTTTCCATTTCGATCCCTGAGGGGTAATGAAACTGAAATTCGGTCGTTACCTATCATTTTTTCACCATTTTCCCTCGCTGGGACGCTATCTTCAGTGTGCTTTATACGTTAACTTTGTTGAAGTAGTTCATACCATCATCACTACTACCATTATCGGCAGTACAAAGCATCTGGGAGCCTTATAGTTAGTTGCCATGAATTCTGCTGGGCGATGGACCTCAATTTGATCGTTATCGGTTGGTCTGTCAGCATGTCGCCCTCTTCAGTATGTTTATACGTCAATATACTTGTTTAAGTAGTACATGTCTTCATCTACCGCCATCCGGATCAGCCCACATGCATCATCATGAGTTGATTGCATGGTCACTCCAAGGGAAATTCCCAAAATCATCATATCCTGCAAAAAAAATCTTGAACGCTATGGTTAAAAAGCATCAAACAAAAGGCAGTGTTCTTTCTTACTTAGGGAACTTCCCTAAATGCTGGAAAATTTTAAAAATACTAAAACTACTAGACAAACAACATTAAAAAAAGCTATAAGCCCCATGCAATCTCTTAAAGTTATGGAAGAATTACCTTACTCGATTCTTTTAGTTCGATATTTAAAAAGAATTGAATGTCATATATTTAAGGAGCATGTTATGACAAGAAGAGAGATTTGGTTTCAACCCGGAGTTTATAACATCACCTAAAAAGCAGAGGTCTTGTCGATACCGATTACTTAAAAGACTACTAGTCAACAGATCTAAAGTCTCCTTTGACATCAAAATGCTCATGTGCAACTCAATACTGAAACCAATAATATGGACTCCGGAATGGCATAGAACTCCACCCTACAGAATCCTGTCCACGAAACTTTAGATTGCCCCATGCTATGATTCTAACTGCACCTACGACCTAAATGTTCTTTTTGTAAAATTGTAAAATCCAGCTACAGAAATTTTCACCTCCAACAATCCCACTCTTCCCTACGTACAACTACTTTCCTCCCGATCTCTTCCCAGCAATCCTCCTCGAAATCTAAAAAGGCAGTGGCCGCGTCACCTGCTCTCAGAGAGTGCGAGAGATTAAATGACAATTTTTAAATAAGGAGTGTTATCACTGGATACTAACAATTTTCCTTTCGATGTCTTTTCGTTTTTTTTAAATTATTTCGTTATCTATGTAGCTCTTTCCTTGTATGTAACAAAAAAATGTTATAGTGAATCTGGACGGGTGTTGACAAAAATGAGAGCGGGCGATTTTTTCGGTGAAATCGGCATATTAAATCTTGACGGGCTCAACAAGTAAGTGTAAAATAGTTTATTTGACATTTCTATATAAAGTCAGTCGAATTTTGCAGGCGTACTGCTGATGTGAGGTCAGTCGGATATTCCGAGCTTTTCAGCCTTTCGAGGGAAGATGTTCTGACGGCAATGAAAGACTACCCAGAAGCTCAGGAAATACTACAGGATTTAGGGAGAAGGCGGCTTAGAGAGGCTCAAAATATGAATCGAGCTTGGAAAAATTCAGGTCAATATGATGTAATTTGATCAACATGTCGAACTTTACAACAAATCTTGTTTACTTTATTTTTTTTTTACGTAAAAGTTAATTTTAAATAAAGTGGAAAAGTTACCTTAAGTGAGAACTAAAAAATATGCAGCTATAATATAAATAAAAAATAAGAGAGGTGTGACGAGAGAATTTGATGAAAAAGCACTACCATCTTTTGGCTTATTGTACTTTTCCGAATTTCTTAGTTCAATCCTTCTTTTAAGGAGCTGTAGGTCATAGTTGCCGCTATTCGTATTCCCGGATCATCTTGGTACCTCTTTTTTAGTCATGGTTAGCCTTGTTCCTCATTCGTCTATTTCTACTTACACTTTGTGTGGACCCATTCTGAATTTGAAGATCCGATGTTATCCCAGTTGTAGGTTCCGGACCGAGAGAGATGCTTGTTCAAAATCCCTTTGTGCTCAGGCACCCATGATTTAGTAAAGTTGTTATGTTTTTCCAGGTTTTAGAGATTTCGTTGCATTCACTATTTGAGATGTGATTTTTTTACATGCTATTGTTTTTATGGCTGCTTGGTGTCTGACCATATGAGAATATTTTAGTCAGTGTGACCTCTTTTAAAATTTTCTATGGCATTGGTAGCATGTATCTCAGCTTGAAAGATCAAGGTATACTTCCCGAAAGAGTTTGATTGCTCAGATGTTGGATTTGTGTAGGATATACTCGACCCTGGTGGTAGGACAAAAGTTGAACAGAATGACAGACTTTGGAGATGAGATTGATACTAGAAAGGCTCCCTAGGCACGGCAGACTTTTGACTTGTGGTCAATTGATTCCATCCTTCTTTTATCCAGTAGAAGGCCATTGACTGTTTCAATTTCTTTACCTTCGTCTTCTTGGTACCTTACGGATAGGGATAGAGATAGGGTGAGGGATAAAAGAGGCGGCCACAAGGCCTTCTGCACCCTCAGCCTGAGTAGGTCTATTATGCTCCCGTGTTTTTTATAACTCTCTGGCCAACTACAGGTTGTTAATCAACCTCTATAGCGTTGCCAGCGATTCCTTAGTGTAGGATCTTGCTTGTAGCTTTTCCTATTCTAGATGAAAGAAACCTGCACCTCCATAGACGTTCACAAAACATAAAATGTGTTCTGAGGTCTCCTCCTCTTCCTGACAATATCTTCACAGTGTTTCTTCTGTCTGTACTCCTATTCGGTGCATGTGCTTTCTTAAGTGGCAGTGTCCTGCAGGAGTCCTGAGAGCCGTAGCCCACTAGGTGTGGAACTACGGCGACGACGGGTGGTATAGTGTGGTTTGAGGCTCGAGACCCCAAAACGGCCCACCTCGGGTTTTCATCCACGGTCCTTTTCTCAATCCGGGTTCCTTCATTCTATCCTGTGACCCCTCCCAACCCTTGGTTGCAAGGGGGGTATCTGGGCACAAAATAAAGGTGTAGCACAAGCTGTACTCGTATCGGCCTAGGGTCGGCATTGGCGGCGGGTGCCTTAGCAGAGTCACACGAGGGCCAGTGCACCAGATCCTGTCGGCATAGACGGGGGAGGGTGTATGGCCATCTGTACCACGGGGTAACTTAAATGTTCCAAATTCAGCCCAAAGTTACATTGGGAATGGATTCGTGGTGGTACGTGGTGACGCCCCTGGCGGGAACTTAGACAGAGGCTGTCTTCTACTTGTGAACTTCGTGAAGCTTGCGTATGGCCATCGTTATACACCCGGCCTCACGGGATACGTCGGACCGGACGGCAGCGTATAGGCGTTGAGGACACGATGATTATGCTGAATAGTCCCTCGAATTCGTGAGTAAGCGGACTAAAACGGGTAGTGAATCGGTTTCTCCGACTCGAGTATGCTTTGCCTTGTTGTGCGTATGACAGGCGTAGTACCCTTGGGGAAGCGAAGGATCGGACCACCTAGGCTGAGACTATGGCGTCCCTCGAATGCGCGTGACAGATGTAGGCTGAGCTCGACAGGAGGTTTTTACCGTAGGCTAGGTACTAGGAGGTAGTTAGCGATTCCACTTAAAACAAAACCGCGGCCGGGGCGAATCCGGTAGTTTCTACGCTAGGGAAGCCCCTATACTCTGGGAGATAGAGTGGGCTTCTCTATCTAGGGGGTGCGCGAGAGAACAGGCTGATGTATTTCGGCTTCTTAGCCCTTTGCGCGCGGCATACGACCCGATGCACAATGCGGGCCCGACCATTCGGAGTGGACAAGCGGAGAGCGAGGTTGTCTTGGCCCTTAGGGGCTGGGGCGCCTCTACACCAATGCTGAGGCGGTAACACTATTCCGTCGTATGCGGTCAGCTCTCATCTTGAGAACCACACGTCCGATAAGGCCGAATAGGCCAGGTGCGGACGCTAAAGATCCTCTAGTCTTGTGACGACGAGTACTCGGGAACGACATGTCCTGCAGGAATCCAACCAGGATCTTGGTTCGGTTGCGTTTGCCTTCCAGTAAATCATTAATTTTTTGTTGATTAATTAATCAGTTTTGCGGATGGCCGTTCTATGAATCTTTTCGCATGTGCCTCATGTCTTGGGTATTATTCCAAACTTTGGACTCATTAAGAATCCATTTTAAGATGTATCCTCTTTTGTGGCAAGATGCTAGGCCACATTAGGGTTCGGGTCCTAGAGAGTCCATCTTGGCTACCTCTTTGGCCAACATGTCATTTTTTTCGATGTCATTCTGCCTCGAATGCCCAGCGACCCATGCCAGAGTCAGGTCATTAGGCTGACTTCCACCAGGGCAAATCCAATCACTCTTTGCCTTCAACTCGCATGAGGCTAGGGCCTTTAGAGCTGCCTGACTGCCACAGAAAATGGCTATTTTCTGAAAATGTATTCCTAGCTGTTTTATTTCCCTGGCGCAGTGTTCCTGATGGTACCTAATGTTATGCCTCTATGAGCTGTTGATTCGCATTGGACGATGTACATATGGCAATTTCTTCCTTCTCATCGCATAATTTCAAAAGGGGTCATCATTTAATATATCCATGTTGGTGTTTTCTCGTGTTTTTGGACGATCTCCATAGGCGCCAGACAGTTCTCACTTCAATTGTCTTTACGTTTTGCTTATTGTAGTAGGTCATTGACTGTTGCTATTATTCTGTTTCCAATGGTCTTCTTATTACCTTAGATTATGTCTCTATTGTACTGTTTCTTTGCCTTCGAAGGTATGGTTGGTAGTTTCTTCCTCCTTATTGCATAACTACAAATGCGGTCATCATGAAATATACCCAAGTTGTGTTTTTTTTTCGTCGTTTTACAGCCCTATCAATCCCCTGATTTCTATCTTGTCTTACTGTAGCAATGTGTTTGTCATTTCTGGAAAGGGGTCTTGAATCTCTATACCTTGACATTTCTTCTTTTGTTTTGTAGACCCATTCTGAGTTAGATGAAGGTTTGTACTTGTTTTTCCAATTCCCGGCTCGTTTTTCGGATAGTAAAGTCCTAACCAGTTCATACGGTCGGCAGGCGACTGGAAGCGACTCGATCTTTTAGCGTTGACACTCGGAGTTAAGTTACCCAGCCACTGTCGCCTCTTTAGTCAAACACGTCTTAGAAATCACCTTATATTTCCGTAACTTGGAACAGTTCACTTTCACAAGTTAAATATGAATGGTACAGAACATTTTTGGTATTAACTGAAAATACTTTGAGTATTGAACTCTACTCGCAATAATTTAGATCCATGTGAATACGAAATAAGGTCCCTCCATCTGTTTCAAGATTTTTATTCTTCCGAATATCCCTTGTTGTTAGTTTTATTTGGAAGGATCTGTCAAATTGTTCTTTTAGCATCATTTTGTCTCATTTATTTTTTATCTTCTTTTAGGATTTTATGAAGACTTCAATTACATTGTTTTATTGTAATGTTTTTAATTTTGACGCAGTGAGAAGGCGTGATAGGAGGACTTCAGCGACGATTCCCAGACCTGAGCTACCGCCACCCCCAAATCGGAGTATTATCGAGAAAATTAAAGCAGATATGAAAGGTCTCAAAGAAGTCTTCAGGCTGGGAAGAGCGACAAGGTGAAACAAATAATTTAATGAGTGCAGTACGGATTGAAATGAAAATGAATCGATTATTTAGTTTCATTTTTAGAAGAAAACAAGAAGACGTTGAGTTGCAACCTCTGACAAAGCCGAAAGAGCCGCCGGCCCCGCTGAAAGCGAAGCTCAGAAGAATGCCTCGGGTGAACGATGAAGCTTCGTACGAAGAGGCGAAGCCCCCGTCGACACCCATCGGCGCAGGCTTACCATTATTACAAAGATTGAAGCTATTGAAAGAAAAACAGGAACAGGAGGCGTTACAAGCAAACCAAGAATCAGCCACTTCAGACAAAACGGAAAATCAAGAATCGGGGTCAACTAGTATAACATTATTGCAACGCACATTTATATTAAAACAAAAAGACGAAGATAAAGATCCAAAAGAGTTAATAGCTGTTTCATCATTACCTACAGTCAGTAAAGGATTCGTATCAACTGTCAGAACGCAATTTCAGTTGCCTTCTCAAAGAATGATAAAACTGATGATAAAGGATCCTGTAACATTTACCAATTCTTCGACTCCAAAAGAAACAACGTCCCCAATCTCCGATAAGCAAGAAAGTCAAAGTGTGCCTGAAAAATCCAATGAACCTAGCTTAACCGGGAGTACAGAGTCTGAACATTTTCCGAAACACGACGAGTCGTGGATGATGATTAAAAAGGCCGTAACACGACCGTACCCTCGGGAAGATTCATCACAAGGGAAAGAATTCGTTTACGAAAGTTCCGAAGCGAAATCCCTTCAGTCTGCTCAAGACAATAATGCTCAAAAATTTGATAGTGAAGCGACTAGAGTGAAAGATAGAGTAAAACTGTACAGATCCATTGAAGATTTATCACCAGAATATGGAGAACTTCCATTTGTTAAAAAATTAGAAATTTTAAACGAACGGCAGAAGTTGGAAGAAACACAAAGCCACGATGATAAAGCTAATTCCGATTTGTCGCATTTGAGCGATAGTTTTAGTTCCGCCTCTAGTGAACCTATACCTCAAACTGTTATAGAAGAAGTAGAATCTCCTTTAAACGAACTTGTACATACAGAATTAAATTTACAAGCTGAAAAAGAAACACAAAAAGGAGAAATCTGTCTATCACAACAGTTAAGTTCCCCAGAAAGTAATGAGACTGTAGAAAGAAGAAATTTAAAAAGTATATTGAAAAAATTATCATCGGGTTCTATGGCTCCTGGAGCACTCGGAAGCAGCGAAGAAACGGACAATTCTGTCAGTCAGCCGTCCTCCTTGACAGATATGAAGAAGCTAATGAGAGCTCAAACGATAGAAGGATATGCAGCGAGGCACAGCAAATTGACAAAAAATGTCACGTTCAACAGGATGGCTATGAATTCGTCGTCAACATCCGGAAGTCTGACGCCGACGAGCAATGGGGTTTTTCTCCCATCTGAAGTACAAGACGCCAACAATCGAAACGACACGAATTCCCGTGGGACTCGACACATTTCAGGAGAATCAATCGTTAGTGTTAAAGGAGGTAAAAATCCGACCTGCGGTGAACCGTCCACATCGGCCGGCACCTCTGCACATTCAGCTGAATTCTCACGGCCTACTCTAGTTATCGAGCACACTAGAAATCAAAATTATTCTAACATCGATCCTCAAAATAAACAAACTGCGTTGCCTTACATAGGTGATCTCTTCGGACAAATACGAGAAATCGTAGAGGGGCATTTGGTAAGTCTTTTTTACATTAATTTTTTTTTTAATTTTTTTGAAATTTCTTTTTCTATTAGGATGCCATTGAATGTAAATATGTGGACTTTTTTCACAATCTGGAAATCGAAGTGAGAAAAAGGGATAAAACTATTTCACATTTGCAAGGCAGAATTCAAGAGTTAGAGGTAATAGTACGGTTTTTATATATTTATTTTTTAAATTTGCATGCATTCGTCCCTAACCCTAACCCTATCTAACTACACTAAGTTATAAAGGGTGTCAGTGAAATAACGTCAATACTTCAGATGGTTATCCTACATGTCAATTTGTACTAAAAAGTCCCTATTCTCTCAAGCCTGATTCTCAATTTTATTCGAAACATCTCACTTTTCAGGTTACTTCAACCTTTCACGCCTTTATTCCATAAAATCTTCAATATCTCATAAACGTTATTTCAACTCAAAATTGTATTACTCCAGTAGAAAGATAACAACTATGCGATTCTTCTTTTTTTTTCTTTTTTTTGTAACTTTAAGCAACCAAATACAAAATCACTTAAGGTGGCCATTCACGATCACTCCAAATGGAACCGCGCTAAGCTGTACAGCTCCATTTGGAGTGCCTGAAATTTGAGGGGGCATTTACGCAGCTCCACAGCCAGTCGCTCCGAACGTCATCTAGTGAATTACCTTCTCAAAATGGATGACGATCTCTTGTGCTACTCTTCTGTTTATTTACATATTAAAAGCAAAAAATCGAAGAGAAAATGGTGTAAGAAGTGGCTCCTGAACAGAAGCCGTAATACCCATATCAATTTGATGAAAGAACTTTCCCTTGAACCCGCTGATTGGAGGAACTATTTAAGGATGGATGAAACGTCTTATTTATTCATTATATTTAGTGTTCTATTGACCAAATTACTTCTTTCAATTATTTAATCTTTTTTCTAAGGTTTTGGTTGAAATGAAAAAGCTAGTGCCACGAGCGGGATCTGAATCCATGGCCTTCGGCTAAATACGCCCCTGCTCTACCACTTAACCTATCGTGACTTCGATCCTCTCCGACACCAAAAAATGGCAAAAAGAGAGAAAATTCGAAAGGTTGTAGGTTGAGATGGGGAGTTAGTGCCCGAGTGGATCGAAGTCAGTATAGCTCAAGTGGTTAGCGCAGCGGCGTATTTAGCCAAATGTTGTGGATTCGAATCCCCTCGTGACACTATTTTTTCATTTCAACTAAAACCTTACAAAAAAAAGATTAACGTCTTATTTATATTTACTTCAGCTTGTTACCCCCTTGATTAGAAAACAAAAGACAGTCATGAGAGAATCATCACTATATGAATGGTTGGCAACCACATTACGATTTCTCGCTACAGGGATGAACTACAAAGAACTTAAGTTCTCTACTACGATTTCTGATCATTGTTAGGGGTTATCAATACCGCATCTCTCATTGCATTTGTATCCTTTGTTTTGAAAACGTCGACCAACTGGTTGATCGAATTTCTTTTATTTCTATCGTGGTAATATAATCATTGTCCACCACTTTCATAAACATGGTACACTTTCATACAATTCAATCACCTCAACAATAAAATCTCGATTGGATGTCATTACCAATAAAGAATAAACGTTTTTGACTTTTTGAGAATGTACGACGGAGATGTTTCCTCAGTGACAAAAAGACGGAGACTGGGCCAAAAAAGAGGGTCTTCCCATTCACGACCAGGCCACCGCGCCAAAATCCCCACCCTCCACGCCAGATTTTCCCATTCACGAACGCGTCATGCCGTCGTCGCGCCGTAGATATTTGGAGTGGCGCGATGGAGTTTGGACCGGTCGAATATTCGGCACAGCCGGGCACGCCAGTTCAGTTTTGCCATTGACGTGGTTTTTGGAACGGCATCGCTCCGTTTGGACTGCTTGGAGCGATCGTGAATGGCCACCTTTAGAAAATAAATTTTTACGGGTTCGAAAGGTCTTGTCTGAAGTTTAAATAAGATTTTCTCTATTCTGTAAATTCTGACAAACTTGTAAAAATTAAATTAAATGTTTAAAATATCCATCTTCTTGAAGAATGCAAGCATGACATCGTTTCATGACAGATTTTAAAACTTTTTAATTAATTCGGCGTAACACTGTGCGCGGTTTTTTTCCCATATATGTACATTTTTCGAGGAGCTGAGTAATGGGCTCGGGACCAGAAACCTCCAGAACCCCAAAGCGCCCCAGCCCGGCAGCGGGCATCCCGATCCCTCTCTTCCCAATATATCCTGATAAGACTTGTGTAATATAATTAGTTGTAATAACATATTCATGAAGTCAGAAACCCTTTGCCAGAGTGTGCACGTGTGCCATGCCGTCCACACTCTGTAAGGTCCGAGGCTCATGTTAGCCAGAGTGACCGTGGACGCCTCCAACGGGCCAGCAACGCCGGACCCCCTGGGCATGCCCTCAAACCCCACCACTCCTCTTTAAACCTTATTCATTATCTTTAAAGTATGTACTGATATTTTGTGAAATGATTAAAGGTTTATTTTGCTGTTGTTTAAGAAAGTGTTCAATTCATTGTGTATAGTTTTTGCGTTCATCAGTATGTTAATGTAATTGAAAGGTGAGTCTATTGTTTTAGAGATTTTATTAAAGAATATATGTCTTTCAGATTTGTATTTAGTACAGTGCATAATTATGTGTTCTGGGTCCTCAATACTTCCACATTGCTCGCATTTGTTCGAGTGATTTTGTTTTATTGCACAGACGGCATGATTGGTTCTTAGTCTACAAATGTTTTTAGTGTCCTTTTTCTTTTTTGATAATCCTGTAAACCAAGGGTTTTTTCCTACCACAGGTACTATAATTTTGTAAAATTTGCCTTTATTATATTGTGAATATTGATTTTGCCATTCTTTAAATTGTTGAATCTTCAGTTCGTGTACTAGGTCACTGTATGGGATGCTGTAGAGATATGGCGTACCATCTTTTGTAGCTTGTTTGGCGTATTGGTCCACAGTCTCATTTTGTCGAATGCCAAAGTGCCCTTTTAGCCATACTATTACTATTTTTTTGTTTATACTATGTGTTAAATTGTAATATTCCTTAATTATTTCTTTATACAAATATAATGTGTTACTGTCCAAATTACGGAATTGTAACTTATTTACAATGCTTTGGCAGTCTGTAAAAATAAATATTTGGTTTTTATCTAAATTCCTAGCATATTTTAGGGCCTCTATGATAGCTATGCATTCCGCAGAGTACACCGTTAATTCGTTTTTAAGTTTTATTTGTATATTGGTATTTTTGTTGAAATCATATATTGCTGCTCCCACTTCATTATTTATTTTTGAGCCATCAGTGAATAAGAGATGAAAATCATTGTAATTGTCAGTTAGAAAAGCTCCAAAT